ACAAACTGGCAGACAGAAGACAATCAGTGCAGTGCTTAAAAGGGGCAGAGCTACATATAGAACACAATGATAAATTAATCTGAAAGTTCTAGAAAACTCATTATGTACAGCATACAAATGTATTGTACAGAGCAGTCAACATTCTTTTGGCACAAACGTAACTCCATACTAAACAAGTACTTTAAAGTTGCTGCACTTATCATGCTGTTGCATTCCGGCATTGATTTTGTGGTCTTTCATTTAGGTCGAGGAAACACCTGAATTCTTTTTTCGTCGTAGTGATATTTCTTTCACGAGTTGACTCTGTGAGTTGTATTAATCTGGCACACCATGTTCCATTTTGAATATGATTTGTTTGGAATGGTTTATGTTTTGATAGTTCACTGTAATATTCTCTAATAGTTCTATAATTTTTCCATAATTCAAGGTTTTTATACCACAAATAATGTACAAATGTGGTATTTTGAAAATGTTTAGTATAATCACTTTGAATAATTTAAATGATAGCTTGAAGTGGTGCTAAATAAAGAACTGTTTGGGATGCAAAAGAGCTCATTCTTATTGCTGAGCTGAGCTCTCTGAAAGGAACCGGGTATTCCTATCACTAATCCATGGCAACCTGCTCTGGTAAATACCACTTACTTGACAAGAACGAGTCTGTTAAGTACATAAACTAGGTCTTTACATTTTCTGAAGAGACTGTTACTAATGCTTCCCCATTCAAAGTAACTGCTAGGTTGTTGGTGTTTGCTATGCGATGCTATGCTAACATGTTTGTTAAGTTGCAGTCACATTTTTTCTGGAAGCCACAGGTTTGGGAATTTCATGTGAGAAAGAAAGATTTTTCCATGCAGATTTCACAGATGGTCACTCGAATTCACCATGCTGTCCAACAGAACGTTACTCAGTTCTAAGTGACTTCTGTGTGAGTTGTGCTTCATGCAGACAATGGATCCTTTTTACCTGACAAATTTTGACAAAATTTCATTAACGTGACCTCACTTTTAGTGTATCACTATGCAGTTGCTAGCTATATGAGCGTGCTCTTTCCAAACCAGTTCCAAACCTTACCCTGTAGCCAATTTCATTTGTCAACTTAATTACACAATCACCTGTCAAGATATGTTTCTTAGATTTAGCTCAGAATAATGTTAACCATAAAGAGATGAGCTAACAATGCTATTCTGATAGTTAGGGTGTAGGTAATGGTTGGGGGTTAGTATTTGTTTCAGTGTTGGTTAGGCAATCAGCAATGTGATTGGCATGACCAAAAATTTATTGTATTTTTTTTTAATTGCACTGTAGCACAAATGCTATTGGACAAGTCATGTGCTGAAGTTTCATACTTAGCATTAGGGGTTGTTAAAATCACCAACTCTACATATGAGCAATAGTACTAGTGATGCTTGACTTAGCTAATTAACATGTGTCAGTATGCATCAGTGCAATGCAGATATCGTTTATATTATAATTTATATAGATATATAATATATATGTGTGTGGGTGCGATATATTGTATGATTGATTGTTTTTTTGCTGGTCTCAGCAGATGTCCCTGTCATTTGTCACTCATGGTTGAGGTGTCAGCACTAACCTGAATGGATATTGATTTCTTACACTTTTTCCCAGCGCTGTCAGACTCTTTTTCAGTGTGGAAACCTGCATAGGATATGTGACATTTCAGTCAGGATCGGATAGGCTGCATTGAATTTCACCTGTCCAGCCATGACATGTAAAGACAGCGTCTCAAAGGTTTGGCCGTCACTGTCTGTGGATCATATGCAGTCACTCCTAAACCCAAACTTAGATCTAAAATAACATGTCAGCTAGGCTGACTGGACTCAGAATCACACGACACCATAATATTTCAAACAGCCTTGCTGTGTTCACAGTACCCATGGGGTTTGTGACAGCAGCAGCGTGAATGAATGACTTTTAATGAGACCAGCTGTTATTTGGCCGTCTGGACTGACCATTACTGAAACACTGCTTTGCTGATGCTAAACAACTGCAATTCTAATATCCTTTAAAGCACACAGGAAGCAACAAGACTAAGGTAGCTAACATAACTAATCGAGTGTTGCAGAGTTTGTATGTATTTTTTTGTTGGCTAAAACCTGGAAATGAGTTAGCATTTAAGCACTTCAGGTTTCATCATTCTGGTTACATGTCTGAAAAAGGTCTGTTGTTAAAACAAGCTCAACATATTACTACGTTTTATTCTAGGACATAAAATACATCACTAATTGTGATTGAAGCTTTTACTCATCCTGAAAAAGGCATTTGCTAACAAGTGGCTAAATGGGACTAGAGACGTTTATATAAATTAGCTGACAATTCGCCAAAATGTAAAATTGTTGAGAAAGAGCCTACAAGACAGTTGCTGAAAACAAATTGTTACCTCCTCTAATCAGTTTAGCCTTTTTTAATTTTTCTTCTTTTTTTTTTTCAGTGAAAACTAGCGGTGTAGCAAACATCACTAACCTACGGTGGCCCAGTAGTGCACAACACAATGGAAACAAGCAGCAACACAATGAAATTAGCACAACACAAAGTAAACAAGCCGTAACACAACGTAAACAAGTCGCAACACAATGAAATTATCACAACACAACGGAATTAGTCTTATGCGTTGTGTTGTCGCGATTTCATTGTTTTGTGCACTTCTGGGCTGCCATACTAACCACATATACAGTAGTTATATCTACTGGGTTAGTGTTTATTTATAATGGCATGGCAGGACCTTATTCTATATCAACCACTAATATCATCAGGCAAAAAAAAAAAAAAAAAAATTTAAAAAAACACTTTTTCAAGAACTACTTCTGGGGGTTGGTCATCAATGCATTGTCTAACTTTCACTAAAGTTTTTTTTTTTTTTTTTTAAGTTATATAAATGTTAGGACAAAACGTTCTTAAGGTAATGTTTATGGAACATTCTAACTTTTTAAATATTTTATATGCATTTTCATGAAATATGTTCTTAGAACATTCTCAGGATGTCCTTATGATGTTGTTTGTACTTGAACGTTCTAGGAAATAATGTTGTAACCTTTAAAGGGGTCATATGATGCTGCTAATAAATTGATTTTTATTATAAAAAAAAATATTTGGTGTATTTGGTGTAATGAAATGTGTTTATGCGGTTTAAGATTAAAAAAACACATTATTTTCCACATACTGTACATTATTGTTTCTCCTCTATGCCCCGCCTTTCTGAAACACGTCAATTTTTACAAAGCACATCGGTCTGAAAAGTGAGTTGTTCTGTGATTGGCCAGTATTTTATATGCATTTTCATGAAATATGTTCTTAGAACATTCTCAGAATGTCCTTATGATGTTGTTTGTACTTGAACATTCTAGGAAATAATGTTGTAACCTTTAAAGGGGTCATATGATGCTGCTAATAAATTTATTTTTATTATAAAAAAAAATATTTGGTGTATTTGGTGTAATGAAATGTGTTTATGCGGTTTAAGATTAAAAAAACACATTATTTTCCACATACTGTACATTATTGTTTCTCCTCTATGCCCCGCCTTTCTGAAACACGTCAATTTTTACAAAGCACATCGGTCTGAAAAGTGAGTTGTTCTGTGATTGGCCAGCTATCCAGTGCATTGTGATTGGCCAAATTCCTCAAGCGTGTGACGGAAATGTTACGTCCCTTACCATATTATGATGCCTGCGGCAACCACATGTGACGACCCCAGACTGGTCCACGGTGAAAGCCGATCCGGCGGTCGACAGCGTGAAGTTGATGTATTTTCTCAGCGACCAGCACGGATCAGCTCCAGGCATGACGAAGCAGATATCGTCCTCTTTTGGAAGGACATTAAAATCACAAAAGAAACTTTTAATATCTTAGAATATTACAAATAAACATTCAAATAAAGTTATATTTGGGGTTAAACAAGTGGGAACGTTGTAAGAAATATTTTTGCAACCTTTAAGTACCGTTCTAATCACGACAAGAAAACTGGACAAAACGTTTTAGAACCATTTCAAAACAATGTTCCCACAACATTTTCATAACCTCACCTGGGTTCTTATCTTATTTGAGAACGCGTGAATTATGGACGCTCCCTTACACTTTTAGAAAGATTTTACTGCTGTAACTGTATTTAAGCCTAAACATAATTTACCATAATCATATCAAATTGCTGAGAGACAATAGAGACAACAATAGGCTACTGTTTAAACTGATGGACGAAATTCTTTAATACAATTTAGCCAACAGTAGGAAATTATAAATATTATTGGTGCATTATTTCCTGGAGGTACAGGCTTTGACACGATTCCGTCACGCACGTATCGAGTTATAGGCTATTTCATCTCCTCACGCAGAGCGTTCTTGCGTCCAAAAACAGCTCGACATAGTGTAAAAACGGAGTGGAACAGAACGCACGGGAGATGTGTCTTTTAAAGTTGAGGTGTTTTTTAACTTCACAGATCGTCTTAAAACGCAACGCGTTAGGAATAAAGAGCAGGACGCGACGTAACAGTCAAAGACGTCGGTCTGACACCGGCATGTGAATGTGTCTAAGCAATTAAACATAGTGTTGGGTCGTTCTTGAACGATTCGTTCGTTTTGAACGAATCTTTAATGTGACTCGGGAAGAACGAGTTTCTTTAATACAATTTAGCCAACAGTAGGAAATTATAAATATTATTGGTGCATTATTTCCTGGAGGTACAGGCTTTGACACGATTCCGTCACGCACGTATCGAGTTATAGGCTATTTCATCTCCTCACGCAGAGCGTTCTTGCGTCCAAAAACAGCTCGACATAGTGTAAAAACGGAGTGGAACAGAACGCACGGGAGATGTGTCTTTTAAAGTTGAGGTGTTTTTTAACTTCACAGATCGTCTTAAAACGCAACGCGTTAGGAATAAAGAGCAGGACGCGACGTAACAGTCAAAGACGTCGGTCTGACACCGGCATGTGAATGTGTCTAAGCAATTAAAAACAGCGTAGACGGAACGCAACAGCACGTTCTGTGTGAACGCCCCCCAGAACGCGGGTCATTCATTGAGCCACTGAAGGGTGTCCATCCGTCCTCTTACAGTACGTAACCATGACAACAGCCCCGGATGGTGGAGCGCGAGGGTAGCCAGGTGTTGGGTTGCGCAGAGGAAGAGACACCTACGCGATCGCTCCGTACTTTCCCATGTATCCTGCCTTCATCTTCTGCACGCGAGGATCTCTGTCGGGAACCACCATGGTGCATCACTCTGGATCCATACAGTCCTTCAAGCAGCAGAAGGGTCAGTGTGAGCGCTGTTTTTGCGGGGGTTTGTGTGTGATAACGTGTTTTGGGGGAAAGTGCGGCTCTGGGCAGCTGTAGCTCTTGCGTGTGAGAACGTGTTTTGGGGGAAAGAGCTGTAGCTCATGTCCCGGTTTGGAGATGCTTTCATGATATGCTCAACTTCACGATCAAGTGTTTGGCGCATATTGATTTGCTACTGGATGCCACTGGAATATAATATCGCTCTAATGAATAGATCACGAGTCAAACAACTGTATTGCTTATTTGCGTTTAGATCTCACGGATTTGTATGATCATGGCATAGAAGTTTTCAAGGCTTTCATAAACATTTATATATATATATATATATATATATATATTCTAGTTTTATTTACTATATGAATGTTTTAGTTTCTTTTATTTTTTCTTTTATTGTCTTCGCTTGATCCCATATTTAAATCTTTAAGCACAGAATTTCTATCAGCAGTCCTTAAAGATTTTCAACAACATCAAGCTCTAATGTAACTTCACTGGATTTATTGTCAAGGCTTTGATAACACATTTAAATATCCTTATTGAATTCAAATGTTAGAAAACCTTAAAGGAATGCTGATGGAAATTATATCATAATTTGGTACTAATGTGATCATACTGTAAAAACTGGAATTTGTATTTATTTGTTTAAGAAATATTCATTGTGTGTGTGTGTGTGTGTATATATATGTATATATATATATATATACTTTTATTGGTAACAGTTTACAATAAGGTGCATTCATTACAGTAACATTAGTTAACTACATTAGTTAACACAAACTAAGAATGGACAATACTTCTGCAGCATTTGTTAATTTATTTAATGTTAATTTCAGCATTTACTAATGTATTATTAAAATCACAAGTTGTGTTTGCTAACATTAGTTAATGCACTGTGAACTAACACGAACAAACAATGAATGGCTGTATTTTAATTAACTAACATCAACAACGATTTAAAAAATGTGTAATAAATGTATTGTTCATTGCTCATTCATGTTAGTTAATAAATTAACAAATGTTAATAAATGACACCTTATTCTAAAATGTTACCATTTTATTTTATCGTATATATTCTAATTGTTTTAGTTAATTTTATTGTCTTTGCTCGATCCCATATTTAAATCTGTAAGCACAGACATTCTATTAGCAGTCCTTAAAGATTTTTTGATCAGGTATATCTGTGATATCTCTCTATTTTTATATTAGAGCTACTCATCTGCGAAGTTCAACAACAGCAAGCTCTAATGTAAATGTTTGGCATTTGAGTTTTGCATCGCACTGGATGTTGGTTCGCTCTTGTTGTTCTCATATCTGCAGTTTTGGTGATCAGTAACATGAACCATAGGAAAAAAAAAATGTTACTGGTAGATCTTGACTCAGGGTTATGGGAAAACACTTTCCATTGATCTTCCTTCATCTTGTTTAATGGGCTCGCCACACACACTAAGTGGTCATCTGCCTATTAAATCATACTGTGCTAAAAATCGCTGATTCTGACTGAACTGATGATTTGATTACAGTGAGATGGAAAAGAAAGAGCCAATGTTGCAGGTTTTAGTAGCTCGCTATGGGATGAAAAGGACAGCAGCTTTGGTACACTGTTTTGATATTAGAGGCATATGTTACACTTTGTTTTGATAAAGTGCATTTGTTCCTTGTGTTGAGGATATGAGATACAGTAACACAAACAGATATGATTACACTTCTCAGGACGTGTCCAGTGTAAACAAAAGCACTTCAGGAAATATCTCTATAAAATCTCATTACTAGTATTACAGCATGCTATTACGGAGATTGAACTGAGAGATTGAAATGGCTAAACGACTGCATTGTCACTTAATAACTAGCAGTCTGTGTGTTTGAGCGTAGATTATTCACAGCGCTCCCATCTCATTAAGCAGATCTAGCCTATTTTTGCATCAATCTTCTTGTAACGAATCAGTCCACTGAAGGCGAGCATAGTGAAAAACCCATGTGCAGTTTATTCACAGACGTGATCCAAACATCCAAACAACAAATGAAGACTAGAAACACAGACTTGACGAGGCATGAACAGACTTGACTAGGCATGAACAGACTAGACCAGGGGTGCCCAAACTCGGTCCTGGAGGGCCGGTGTCCTGCAGAGTTTAGCTCCTACTTGCCTCAACACACCTGCCTGGAAGTTTCTAGTATGACTAGTAAGAGCTTGATTAGCTGGTTCAGGTGTGTCTAACTGGGGTTGGATCTAAACTCTGCAGGACACTGGCCCTCCAGGACCGAGTTTGGACACCCCTGCATTAGAGGAAGTATCCCCCCCCCCGGAACCACAAATTTAAAGATAAACAAAGCTTTGTGTT